TTTTTTTTAATAGATTTTTTGATGGTGGCCATTTTGACCTGTGTGGGGGTGGTTCCTCATTATAGTTTTAATTTGCATTTCTCTAATAATTAGTTACATTGAGCATCTTTTCATGTGCCTCTTGGCCATCTGCATGTCTTCTTTGGAGAAATGTCTATTTAGGTCTTCTGCCCATTTTTTGATTGGAGTTTTATTCTTTTTTTTTTTTTGATACTGAGCTTCATGAGCTGTTTGTATATTTTGGATTAATCCTTTGTCCATTGCTTTGTTTGCAAATATTTTCTCCCTTTCTGAGAGTTGTCTTTTCCTCTTGTTTATGGTTTCCTTTGCTACGCAAAAGCTTTTAAGTTTAATTAGTTCCCATTTATTTTTTATTTTATTTTAGTACACATTTTCATAATGGACACTAGCTCTAGTGTGTAAATAGGAGAATTCTGTCAGCATAATGTGGAAGGCATATTGTTTTTTTCACAGATATTTTGCCCTACTGAGTAACAGCACTGAACACAAGATAGGTAAACAACTGGAAACAGCAAGCCACGGAAGAATAAGTCGTGTAGGATGCCCATTCTCCCCCTACCCTCTTCCTCTGGCTCACTTTGGCCACATGCCCTGACTTAAAAACACATCTTGGATGGTTGTCTGAGATGCATTTTGCCCTTGTTTTCATTAACTTGGCAGCCTCAACTGTTCTTTATATCCCCTCCCATTGAGCTATCTTCCCCCCTCCCCCAAGATTAAGTCTTAACATTAGTATTTATTAGAATGACAGGTACATTTTTTCATCAGTGACAATGTTAAGGTTGCTGTGTGATGGTGCTTTTGTAACAAACTCTCAGATTTTGAGTTATCTGATTCTGATTTTATTATAAGTTCTGTTGTTTTAGAAGGGTGTTTTAGGGGGTTTTGGGGTTGTTTTTTTTTTGCATAATGTGAAGTTTCAGAATGTTTATATTGAGTTGTAGCAAAGATGCTTGTACCACATGTAATATTTCTTCACCTCATGGAACTGAACATTTTAGGGGAGAAAAGAGTATTGACCTTGAATCCTGGCTTTGCCTCTTGCCTTTATAATCTTTAGCAATTTACTTAATCTCTAGCCCACAGGGAAATGGTGATGGCAGTCATGACGTCCGTTTTTGTTATATAGGTGACGTGAGGTAATGCACATAAATAAAACACTTGACTCTGTTCTTGACACATGAATCACTCGGGAGTACCCAGTTCAGTACTGCTCGAATATAGTTCTCATCATTGTTGCCGTTCTTATTACATATCATTGACGTTTTACTCATGTAAACTTGTGATTAGTGTGTAGACAGCATTTTCATTTGTGTTCCTTTAAGAGCATATCTGTTCAGTCACCAGTCTTCTTGACCTGCTGCATGGCAGGTACAGTGTTAGGTGCCAGGACTTGTTTTATTTTTTAGTCACTGGGTCGTGTCTGATGCTTTTGCAACCACATGGACTGTCACCTACCAGTATAGAACCATAAATAGACACTTTCTTTGCAATCAGAAGTCTGGTGGTATAGGCAGATAATTTGGAGAAAGTATGAAAAGTGCAATAATGGAGGTAATTGATTGATTATATACCATTTTAAATGAGTGTATTCCATTTCTGAGAAGGTAAGAAATAGGAAGTACCACAGGGTTATTTAGCAATAAGACAAAACAGTCTGTTACTCTGATATATTAATAGTACTCATCAGTATTTTTGACCTGTTTCATTTCACACTTGAAAGGGTCAGCATTTTAATGGAGAGATTAAATGTTTTTGTTGTTTTTGTCCGTAGAGCTTTCAGTTCCCGCATTTGATAGGAAGTTATTTAGGATTGATTTTATATTATTTTCTCAGTATTTTAGGAAGCTGAGAAAATCATAGCCCCTTACTCCCTATTGCTGGCCTCTGTTCTGGTTAAATATCTGTAGTAAAAAAGTACATGGGGTATTTTTACATGTGTGTCTTAGATGCTGTGGGATAGACTTGTCCTATTAATGCTTCTCAGCACATCCTAAATATGAGAGTGTTACACTATGAGTGTGTGTTACCTTTCAGTTTCAAGATACTTGAAGGCTTCTCAAAATATTTGGGAAATTTCTGCATAATTTAAAGATTATTAACTTTTACATCTTTTTCTTACAGAGTCTTCAGGCAGAAAGGAACAAACCAACCAAGAATATGATTAACATCAATAGCTGCCTGGAAGAGGTCTTTGGCTGTGCCATTAAGGCTGCCTATCCAGTTTTGGAAAACCCTCCACTGATAGTGACACCCAGTCAGCAGCCCAAGTTTGGAGACTATCAGTGTAATAGTGCTATGGGCATCTGTCAGGTGATTATATTATTTATTGTAAAGCATTCTTTGTGGTTTGATTTTTCTTAAGCGTTAAAGTTATCATTGAGTGCATGCTCAGTCGTGTCTGTCTCTTTTCCAACCCCATGGACTGTAACCCGCCAGGCTTCTCTGCCCGTGTGATTTCTCAGGCAAGAATGCTGGAGTGCGTTACCGCTTCCTTCTCCAGGGAGCTTCCTGACTCAGGATCAAACCCACACATCTGTATCAGCAGGCAGGTGCTTTACACTGAGCCACCTGGGAAGCCCATAATTATCATTTACATAAATAATAGAGCCTTGTATCCTCAGTGAAAACATTTCCCACAGTTCTGAAAAACTTGAGGAAAGGGAATGTGTGTTTTTGATTTTTAAAAAGCACAAAATTTAATATTTAAATTACATATACTCAGTATTTAAGGAAATAGCTGATACTGTTTTGTTTTGGCACATTCCTCCTTTTGTGTCCAGGATAACTGAGTTATTGTTGAGGGATTAGAAGTTAGCTAATTAGCACCAGCATTCCCATCAAATATTTGATGGAGATGTGTTTTTGAGATAGGCTTGTGTATTTCATAGTCAGAGGAGTTCCCTGTTTTTAATAGCTAATGTGTTAGTAGTTTATTGCCCTTGGTTTGGGACTTTTTGATTTCTTTTCATTGTTGAATAGAAAGGCTTCATCTAAAGATCAGATTTTTTTCTAGATAATTTTTGTGTGTCTGTGCTGGAGTTAGGTTTATGAGGGTGCTATTTACTACTCAAATCTGAATATTGCACACATTCATGATTTGAAAATTACAAATGTAAATGTCCTGGAAACAGGTATTATAACTAAAGACTTTAAAAGTCTTCATTAAGAAGTTCTAGATAGTTGTGGCAGCTCATTCTGAAAAGAGATCCTGTGGTTTTGGCACTTTTCCATTCCTCCTGGCACTGTTGCTATTTGATGCTTTAATCTCTCTTTACAAGGTCATTGGTCTCTGCTTCTGCCTTTTGATGAGTCTTAATGTCGGGTGAATCTGATGCTTTGTCAGCTGTGCATTTCCTAGTAATCTGCTGAGACCTGTTGTGTAACCAATCATTTATGTTTTATAGATGCTTAAAACCAAGGAACAGAAAGTTAATCCAAGAGAAATTGCTGAAAACATTGTCAAACACCTCCCGGACAATGAATATATTGAGAAAGTTGAAATTGCTGGTCCTGGTATGTCATAATGTACTCTTTCTTAAGTAGTCCTGTTAATTGCTGAGTCCTTTTGAAATAAGAAAAGAAAACCATTTTAAATATAAACATAAGGTTAAAACTCATGTACTGAACAAGATGATGAAAGCACCTTGGATTGNTTTTTTTTTTTTTTTTTTGAAGTCTGGGATCTTCTGCCAGCGTTCAGTAGGTGATCTGTAGGAGTTGCTCCACATGCAGATGTATTTGTGGGGAGGGAGACAATCTCCATATCTTAGTCCACTGCCATCTTGAAAGTCCCCCTTCCCCTGGGTCTTTTTTTCTTTTTTGGTTTTCCCACTTGAATTTTATTTGGGCAGACCCGGGGACAGAGAGGGCCTGCACCTAAAAGAAGATATTGGGCCTCTTGGTGGTGAAGCGTGGCTTGTGCTGGCAACGGAGGTCCTGGTATGGCAGTGGGAACTTGATCTTGGAGTCTTGGAACTCCTTGACCGCTGGTTGGTGGCACTTGCTGGCTGCGGTCTCCTCCACCTTCATGATCTGGATTGAGTGGGCCCGGGCTCAGTGCCAGCGCCCAAGTCTCGGTAGCACCCGGTGATGGCGCCAGCTGTGGTCAAATCCCGTACTCCCGGTGCATGCTGTGGGTGCCACCACTGTGGGAGTCCCAGCACAGCCAGATGCTGAAGTTCTTCACCTGCAGGGGAGATTTCTCCGACACCTGTCCACAATAGACCATTTTCCCCTAGGATTTCTTCATTGTCTTCAGTGGAGACACAAAAGTACCAGAAGTGGGACTTGGCAACAGCGTGATTAGATGCAAAAATTCTCATATGATAGAGGAGCAGCGTTTGGGGTCGGCAGGCAGCGCCCCACCACATTATACTCACGAAGCATCCCTGAGGCCTTCATGGCACTCTGCCCACGATCGCCACCACCCTTGAAAAAGCTCCCCTGGGTCTTGATTGCTATGTGATTTTTGTTTTCATTCCCCAAGTCATTTGAGGTAGCCAACTGATACTTATGAGTTGTCTCTGAAATAAAGAATAGATAACTTATTTAAACAGATTTGATTATTTTTCAATTAATGATGGACAAGTTCCATCAGAAATCCTAACAGTTGAATTACAGTCCAAGCTAATGTTTAAGCCTTGTTTATTATTAAATGTTATTAATGAATGTGTTAGCAAAAGAAAATGTTTATACCCCCCTCTAAAAAATCTTTATTATTTATCCCAGGTTATAGTTGACTTTTCCTCTCCCAACATAGCTAAAGAGATGCATGTAGGCCACCTCCGGTCAACAATCATAGGCGAGAGCATGTGCCGCCTCTTTGAGTTCGCAGGATATAACGTGCTGAGGTACGTACTCTTGCCTTTCTTTGGAGATTTCTATAGAAGAGAAAATGTCATTAGAGAAAGAATCTTTGACTAAATCAGTGATTCTTAAGTGTCTGCTTCATAATCACCCATTAGGCTTTAAAATTATGTCCTTGGCCCCTCCTTTAGACTAATAGCTATTTAGACTTGGGGTGGATGTAGAACCAAGGAAAAAGCTCCCTCATTATTGCACAAATATTTCTTGAGTGCCTCTTCTGTATACTAGAAGTATATATTTTAGTGGGAGAGGTAAGCAAGAAACGGATTGTACTGGATCTTATAGGCCATGATAGGAAATTGGGGTTTTATTAAATGCAGTGGGAACCTTTTGGAGAGTCTTAGTATGGCATATAATATGATTAGAGATTACTCTGGTTACTTTGAAGAAACTAGGCAAAGAAGGAAAAAGAACTATAGTAATTAATTAGAAGTCTGTTTTAATAATCCAGGTAAGAGATGATCTGATGGTTTAAGGTTAGATGAAGGCAGTGAAGAATGAGAAGTGATTGTATTGATATATTTTGAAGAATTTTGTCCATTGATATTTGGGAACTACTAAATTATACTGAAATAATTGGTTGAACAGTTACGTTTTCATAAAATTATGGTAATGACCTACATTGACCTGACTGCCACTGTCCCAGTTAACTATGCAACAAACAGATCACAGTCCATTCATAGGAACTTCATTCAGCAAATCCTGTAGGCCAGATGTTTGCAGGCTCCATTATTGGGTATCTAATGACAAACATAACAGACCTTGTCTTTGCCTCAGACCAGATGAGGAAACACCTCCATGAAAAGGATAATACTAAACATGATGTATTGGCACTTAATGTTTGTGGTTCCTAATGGAATATCAGTTCAGTTCAGTAGCTCAGTTGTGTCCAACTCTTTGCAACCAACCCCATGGACTGCAGCATGATAGGCTTTCCTGTCCATGACCAACTCCCGGAGCTTGCTCAAACTCAAGTTCATCGAGTCCATGATGCCATTCAACCATCCCATCCTCTGTCGTCCCCTTCTCCCATCTTGTCTTTTCCCAGCGTCAAAGTCTTTTCAAATGAGTCAGTTCCTTGCATCAGGTGGCCAAAGTATTGGAGTTTCAACTTCAGCATCAGTCCTTCCAATGAATATTCAGGACTTTTCCAGTGAGTCGGTTCTCCCCATCAGGCCAAAGTATTGGAGTTTCAACTTCAGCATCAGTCCTTCCAATGAATATTCAGGACTCATTTCCTTTAGGATTGGCTGGTTTGATCTCCTTTCAGTCCAAGGGACTCACAGGAGTCTTCTCCAACACCATAGTTCAAAAGCATCAATTCTTTGGTACTCAGTCTTCTCTATAGTCCAGTTCATGTTTATCATTTTTAAGTGGTTTTGTTCTGTGTTTGATACTAGATTAAACCATGTAGGAGACTGGGGAACCCAGTTTGGCATGCTCATTGCTCACCTGCAAGATAAATTTCCAGATTACCTAACAGTTTCACCTCCCATTGGGGATCTTCAGGCTTTTTATAAGGTTTGGTGCCATTTATTATTGTATTATTTGTGTGTCTATCAGTTATCATAGTTTTCCTTAGGGAGTTTAAAATGGTATTTGAAGCTATGATGGGGTTAAATAAAAGTTGCTGCATTCTCTGTTCCTCAGTATAGCATGTTTGCTTTTATAGGTGTATGCTAAAAGTTTAATTCTACAGCATTACCCATTCTTACGTGAATTTAGGAGTTTGTTAGTCAAAATACATTTTAGTTTTTAAAAATTTTGATGCTGCTCTATCTTCCTGATTCTGTATATTTTGAAAGCATTGTTAAGTATAAACACTTTTTTAAAGACAAATTTACCATAAACCATAATTTTAAATAAGTCACTGTAGTAAACAGTCTTTGACTCTTTCACTTATCCATATATAAACATTTATTATATCAATTGTGGTTATAATATCATTTTTGTATTGTACCTATTTAAAGTTTATCATACTCTTTCATGTTACTTTGTGACCACATCTTATTTTGGATTTGTAGACCAAAGTGTATACCCCTTATTATTGGATTCCCCCCCCCCCNCCCCCCCCCATTTTGGGGATGCTCAGTAACTTCATGTTTTTACTTGTAGGTTGTATCTACATGTTTCTACATGTAGGTTTTCTTGTTTTTAAAATTGTTTTCTTATGATACAGTCCTAAGAATAGGATTACTGTATTAAGAAATAATATAGTACTTAAAACTTTTTTTGGTTGGTTGGTAATTGGCTTTTATAGAGGTTTTTTTTTTTTAATCTTTTGGTGTGTATTTTCTAGTGAAAAAATTAAAAATTGTTTACTGATATCAATTAGGTGAAATGGCTGTTATAATCTGCTGGGATTCTGTACACTGAATGGGTAAATCTATTAATGCCATAAAATATTTAAAATACACTGCTGAATTTTAATACCAAAGATAAAAGAAAAACCATATATTTATAGTTTTTAAAACATACAGATCTGTGATTGCAAAGAAATATCTAGAATTTTCATCAGAATGTTATTGCTGGTTAGTTTGGGATAGGGTTAACAATAATATTTTTTAATAAGCACGTATTGCTTTCAAAGGAGATGTGAACCAATGAAAGCAGTCTTTTTGGGTGCGCAGGGTCTTCGTTGCCGCACAAGGGCTTTCTCGAGTTGCAGCCAGCGGCCTACCCTCTGGTTGGTGTGCGCTGGCTTCTCTTGTTGCAGCGCCCAGACTCAGGCTCACGGGTTTCAGCAGGTGTGGCGCACAGGCTTCGTTGCCCACGGCCTGTGGTGTCTTCCCGGAGCAGGGAGCGAGCCTGTGTTCCCTGTACTGGCAGGCAGGTTTTTATCTGCTATGCCACAGGGAAGTCCACGAGTTTATTTTTAATTACAAAAAAAAAAAAATGATTCAGAGTGGAAAATAGAGCCTGAAAATTCAGCCTCATCTGTTAGCTGTACATTGTAATTCTCCTGGAACAGAAGCACTAGTGTGAACTGGAAAGGTAGAGGTAGCATTGTGATGCAAATTTTACATTTTTTAAGGAAAACTATTTCAGAAGCAATAATTGGGTTTTATTAGCACATTCATTTGTAACAACGTCTTTGACTGTTGAGTTAGAACACTTGTTCTATTGTTCAACAGATCTAAATTTTTACTTCCTCTGGTTTTTTTGTGGGTGTTGTTGTTTTTTTTAAGAAATGTGTTTTATCTAGAAATATGGGGCTGATTGTTTACAGACCTTACCTTTTTTAATATAGGAATCCAAGAAGAGATTTGATACTGAGGAGGAATTTAAGAAGCGAGCATATCAGTGTGTTGTTTTGCTCCAGAGTAAAAATCCAGACATCATAAAAGCTTGGAAACTTATCTGTGATGTCTCCCGCCAAGGTAAGCTTCTGGGCTTTGTTTATCCAGCGAATACTATTGCGTGTAGTTTCTTGAGTATTCAGAATTGACTTTAAATGATGTATTAAATTTTCAGGGCTAGCAAATCAATTTTTTTTTCTTACATATTTTCTGAAATTGAAACTACAAAGAAAGTTTATAAAGACAGGCAGGTGCAAATTTTAATTTCTTTAGAAGTCAGGAGAAATTAGTTAGAAGAAAAGTAGAAAGGAAAAGGATGCTATTCACATTAAGCATCCAAAACTATAAAATCCTTTCAGATAATTCTATCCAGAAATGTGTGGGGCTAAAACGAAGGGAAATACACAGCAGGGTGGAGCAGTGTGTTTGGGTAGAGTGTCATGCCGAGTCCCCTTGTTCTCCATGTTCATTTGTGGTTTCAGGACAGTTCTGAGTGCTCAGACTTGACTGTTATTTGAAAGGTCACTTTGAAGAACAGATGAACACGAATAGCCAAATGAGGCATTGGACATCTCTTTAATAGAGAGGGGAGAATCCTTCTATCAAGATAAGATGCATGATATTGTAAAGGAATTTGAAGATAGAGGTAAGCACTCTACTTTTTTTTTTTAACTTTATTATACAAATTTTCAAACAGAGGCAAAAACAGAGAGAGTATTATAGTGACCTCCCAGCTTCATGCACTAGTTACCAACTTAATTATGAACACAGGCAGACCTTATTATGTCTGTTACCTTCCTGTGTACACTGCTTGTATTATAATTTCTTCTATGACTGCTTTGGTTTGTCTCTGAAACAACAGACCCTTCATCCCACCCCAAAACCATGATACCATTATCAGTCCATGACAACTAATACTTCCTTCATTTCTTTTTTTCGTTTGTTATTTGGTTCCGTCAGGCCTCAGTCACATCACGTGGAATCTTTCATTGCCGTGAACAGACTCTCTTGTGGCATGGGAGCTTCAGTAGTGTGGCCTGCTGGCTTAGCTGCATTGTGACACGTGGGATCCTAGTTCCTTGACCAAGGATTGGATCCTAGTTCCCTGACCAGGGATTGAACCCATGCCCCTGCATTGCAAGGCAGATTCTTAATCACTGGACCACCAGGGGGAAGTCCCAGTGATTTCTTAATAGCAAGTCATGAGTTCAAATTTTCCAAGCTGATTCATATTTTTTAATCTTAAGTATTTTTTTCAGAGTCTGCACATTACATTTGTTTAATATAAAGTCATGGGTTTCTCTCCATAGCCCCACACTTATTTCTCATTTATTATTGAAGAAACTAGGCCATTTGTCTTACAGAGATTTCCATATGGTGTTGTGTGGCATAATTCCTCTATCTGTATTTTCTAAAGAGGCTAGATTAAACTCTGGTTTGTATTTTGTTTTCTTCACTTGTTTTGTCTTGTTTATTTGTGAGAATGCCAATTTTTAGTTGGCCCTCTTGTTTTGATGTTAAGATGAATTAGTGGGTTCAGGTCTTGTCAGCCTGATCTATTGTTTAATTTCTCCATTAGACTTTCCTCTAGTGGTTGTAGCAGCTATTGATGGTCATGACTTGGTTCCATTATTTTATTAGAGGTTGGGAAATGTAGCATTCTGTCATTTCTTTTGTTTGTTACCTGGAAATCTGTGCAGAAGTTTGTCACATAATCATTTTGGTTAACCTGAGGTATGGTTCATAGGAGGTAAACAGTATAAATGCTTGGTGCTTTCTTTATTTTTCTTTACCAATTTTCAGAATAGTAAACTAGTTTCTTAATATTTTCCAGATGTAACAACTGCATTACCTTTAGCATTATTGTAAGTTAGGTTTAGTATATTTTATGTTTTCCTACTGTTTGCCTTTATTTTTTAATGCTCACATTGTCTTGTATTTAGCTAATGGTAGTCTCAAGTGGCTTTCCTTTTTTTCCCACTTGACCCTTACAGTTTTTGATAGTTTACTTGTTTTCTGGACACAATATTTCAGGATAAGTTTGTACATTTCCTGCCTGTCTTGTGGATTCAACCAGTCTGTTATCTCCAGGAAAACTTAGTTCCTTGAATGAGAAAATGATACTAATCACATTCTGGAAACTGGGGACCATACTTTTAAGATAAGGAATTTTTAAAAATTGTTTTAACTTGAGATATAGTTGATTTACAATTAATTTCTGCTTTACAGCAAAGTGATTCAGTTATATATATAAATTTTTTTTTCATATTTTCCATTATGGTTTATCACAGAATATTGATTTTAGTTACCTGTGCTATATGATAGAACCTTGTTTACCCATTCTATGTGTAATAGTTTGCAACTACTAACTCTAGACTCCCTTCCCTCCCTCGGCAACTACAAGTCTGTTCTCTTTGGGTCTGTTTCTGTTTCATAGATAGGTTCATTTGTGTCATAGTTTAGAGTCCACATATAAATTATATCATATGATACTTGTTTCTGTCTGACTTACTTAACTTAGTATGACAGTCTTTTTTAGATCTATCCATGTTACTGTTAATGGCATTTCATTCTTTTTTATAGCTGAGAAGTGTTGCATTGTATGTTTATACCACGTCGTCTTTATCCATTCATATGTTGATGGCTATTTAGGTTGTTTCCACATCTTGGCTGTTAAGAACAGTGCTGCTGTGAAGACAAGGGTGCTTGCATCTTTTTGAATTATAGTTTTATCCAGATATATGCCCAGGAATGAGATTGCTGGATCATGCAGCAACTCTAGTTTTTGTTTACTGGGGAGCCTCCCTACTGTTTTCCATAATAGCTGCACCAATTTATATTCCTACCAACAGTGTAAGAAGGTTCCCTTTTCTCTACAATCTCTCCAGCATTTGTTATTTGTAGACTTAGGTAAAAAAATTTTAATAATGAGAAAAGAAGCTGGCCATGTTAGCCATGCTAGCAGAAAGGAGGAATTCAACAAAGCAAGGCAAAGCAAGTGTGGGGTCCTTAGAAATAGTTTAGGATATTGGAGGAAAACTGTATTGTATTCCTTGCTGTGAGGGGAAGATGAGAATCCAGATTGTCATAATGTGAGAAACACTTTAATTGTGTAATTATTTTGTACTCATAACAAGAAAAGTAATGTCCATTAAAAAAAGAAAAGCACAAAGAAGTTAGTAACTTCCCGAGGTTACATAGCTAATAACTGCTAAATCAAGATTCAAACCTGGGCAGTCTGGCTTCAGAGTTTGTTTTTAACCAGGATTTTATACTGCCTTCACCCTACCAAGCATAAGTTTTCTAAAATGTTTAAAAAAAGAAGAAAAAGGCAGTAGTAATAGTATTTACTGCATAGAGTTATTGTGAAGGTTGAATTTAAGACTCAATATAGTATTTAGCATATAGTAGCACATACTGAGGAGAAGGACATGGCACCCCACTCCAGTACTCTTGTCTGGAAAATCCCATGGACTGAGGGGCCTGGTAGGCTACAGTCCATGGGGTTGTGAAGAGTCAGACACGACTGAGCTACTTCACTTCCACTTTCACTTTTAATCTGTGCCATACAGTGATACTGTAACTACTGTATTACATAAAGTCATAACCTGTGTTTGAGTTTAATAAAGTGTCAACTGAAATAAGTGCCTTAGGATCCCAAATGCTTGCTGCATTTGACTTTTATGGCAGTAATGATGACTACAAAGACTATGGTTTAGGATTGATTTTTTTTTTTCAATGCACTTTAGCATTTGTAAAAGGAAAATAGCATGCTCGGTTCCTTTGACTTTTNTCCTGCCATGTGTGTGCCCTGAACTCTGTTGTAGCTGTAACTCGAAAACTGTAAATGAATGAATACATTTTAAGAGGTAATGATAGAAATTGCATCTTTCTCCCAAAGGAAGGCTATGGCTCCTGCTTGAAAACAAAGCACAGATTTCCATGTTTCATGTCTGCTGAGCAGGAGGACTCCTCATAGAATGAAATGCTGTATGAAGAATTTGGGAGCCAGGTGTCATGTTAGTTTGGGAAGCTACCAAGAACACACCCTGGGTGCCCAGACAACAATTTTCTCTTTTTCTTTTTTCTTCTAGGATTTGTGCAAGTGGACGATGGCAGAAAGATTGTGTTTGTTCCAGGATGTTCTGTACCATTAACCATAGTAAAATCGGATGGAGGTTATACCTATGATACATCTGACCTGGCTGCCATTAAACAAAGACTGTTTGAGGAAAAAGCAGATATGATCATCTATGTGGTGGACAATGGACAAGTAAGTTTGTACATTTGTATCAATTTGCATTGTCTGATTGGAGGTAAGGCAGTATGCTGAAGCATTTGGCATTCAAAAACCCTCTAAATTTTCCTCAAAGACAGAAATTCAGAAAAGTGATATAAGAGAGAGAGCAGGGTTTGGATTTGGCCAAACTTGTTCACTTCTCAGTTTTCCCACTTGTCTCTATAAACTAGGAAGGATGTTCCCTTATTCTTATATATAAGGAATAAAGAAGAGCTTCTATAACTTTACTTGCCTTAAAAGGTTAGTGAGTGATTTGAATTTTACAAAGCTTTATTCCTAAGTAGAAGAGCTTTAAGTCATTTTTTAAATTAGAAAGTTCAGCAAGTAACTTTCTCTTTCTATTTCTTTATAGTCCTTACACTTCCAGACAATATTTGGTGCTGCTCAAATGATTGGTTGGTATGACCCTGAAGTAACTCGAGTGTCTCATGCTGGATTTGGTGTGGTGCTGGGGGAAGACAAGTAAGTCTGGAAAATGTGAAGGTGGTAACAACATACCTGACAGCCAGAATTCTTTAATAGAGACTATTTGATTTGATGCCGTAGTCTACAGATGCTGTAGTAGGTACGCAGCCAAGCTGTTTTGTACCTGTGTCTTATCACTGCCAGAGAGTGTAGCCTTTTAGGAAGAATTGAGAGAAATTTTTACATCTTCCATTTAATATTGTTTTAGGATCACTTAGTTATTTAATTACCACATCATTTTTGATTTGGTGACATGGCCTAGATTCTACCATCACATAAATGTGGGTGGTGTTTCTAAAAGCTTCATGAAGTAACTCAAGATGGTTAACACACCAATGTACAAAAGGGCTAACTAAGCATATGAGAGGCAGGCTAAGCACATAAAAGGCCTGACCCCTACCCAAATAAATGTCAGGATATTTATTTTAGATGTAAGTTTATATGCAGACAAAATACCTTAGATCAAACATATAATTCTGTTTAGCTGCACTTTTTTGTAACTGGAAGACACCTGGTCCTTAAGTATTCATGATCCCAAGAAAGTGTTAAAAATCAAACTCATGAGTTGAGTATTGCTTTATAGGATATTATTTTCCTGTTTTGTTTTGGGTTTTTTGTTGTTGTTGTTTTTATTTGTTTTTATATAATTTATTTTTTTATTGAAGGATAATTGCTTTACAGAATTTTATTGTTTTCTGTCAAACCTCAACATGAACCAGCCATGGGTATACGTGTATCCCCTCCCTTTTGAACCTCCCTCCCGTCTCCCTCCCCTCTAGGTTGCTACAGAGCCCCTGTTTTGAGTTTTCTTAGCCACACAGCAAATGCCCGTTGGCTGTGTTACTCTTCATACATCTCACCCTCTCCTCCCTTCTCCCCGTGTCCACAAGTCTTGTTTCTCCATTGCTGCCCCGTAAGTAAATTCTTCAGTACCATTTTCCTAGATTCCATATATATGCATTAGAATACGATATTTATCTTTCTCTTTCTGACTTACTTCACTCTGTATAACAGGTTCTAGGTTTATCCACCTCATTAGAACTGACTCAAAAGGCATTCCTTTTTATGGCTGAGTAATATTCCATTGTGTATATGTACCACAACTTCACCTATTCATCTGTCGATGGACATCTACGTTGCTTCCATGTTCTAGCTATTGTAAATAGTGCTGCAGTGAACAGTGGGATACATGTCTTTTTCAGTTTTGGTTTCCTCAGGGTATATGCCTAGGAGTGGGATTGCTGGGTCATATGATGGTTTTATTCCTAGTTTTTAAAGGAATCTCCATACTGTCTTCCATAGTGGCTATATCAATTTGCATTTTCACCAACAGTGCAAGAGCATTCCCTTTTCTCCACACCCTCTCCAGCATTTATTATTTGTAGACTTTTTGATGATGGCCATTCTGACTGGTGTGAGGTGATATCTCATTGTAGTTTTGATTTGCATTTCTCTAATAATGAGCAATGTTAACTATCTTTTCATGTGTTTGTTAGCCATCCGTATGTCTTTGGAGAAATGTCTGTTTAGGTTATTTTCCCACTTTTTGATTGGGTTGTTTGTTTTTCTGGCATTGAGTTGTATGAGCTACTTGCATATTTTGGAAATTAAACCTTGTGTCAGTTGTTTCATTTTTTATTATTTTCTTCCATTTTGAGGGTTGTCTTTTCACCTTGCTTATGGTTCCCTTTGCTGTGCAAAAGCTTTTAAGTTTAATCAGGTCCCACTTATTTACTTTTTTTTTATTTCCATTACTCTAGGGGGTGGGTCATAGAGGATCTTGCTTTGGTTTATGTCATTGAATGTTCTGCCTATGTTTTCTTCTAAGAGTTTTATAGTTTCTGGTCTTAACATTTAGGTCTTTAATCCATTTTGAGTTTATCTTTGTGTATGGTGTTAGGAAGTGTTGTAATTTCATTCTTTTACATGTAGCTGTCCAGTTTTCCCAGCAGCATTTATTGAGGCTGTCTGTGTCCCGTTGTACATTCTTGCCTCCTTTGTCAAAGGTGAGGTGCCCATGGGTGCATGGCTGTGGCTTTGCAGGATAGCCTGAAGTCAGGAAGGGGGATTCCTCCAGCTCCACTCCTTTTTCTCAGGACTGCTTTGGCTCTGCGGGGTCTTTTCTGTTTCCATATGAATTGTGAAATTTTTGTTCTAGTCCTGTGAAAAATGTCATTGGTAATTTGATAGGGATTGCATTGAATCTGTGGATTGCGTTTGGTAGTATAGTCATTTTCACAATATTGGTTCTTCCGACCCTGGTGGTATTGTTTTAGATATCTGCATTCATATAATTATGGTGTCCTACACCATAAAAAAGAAAAATTATCAGTGATAGCTAGCCAGTGGCATCCTACCATATTTTAAACATTGATATTAACATGCTCAAATTCAGATCTCCCTGGTGGTCCAGTGGTTAAGACTCCAAGCTTCCACTACAGGGACATGGGTTCATTTCCTGGTCAGGGACGTTTCACATGCTGTGCAGTGCGGCCAAAAAAAGAAATAAAATGCTCAGATTCTGCCGTCTATTTTTTTAGTGAATTTTTCTTTTTTTAAGGCTTTTTACAATAAATAATTTATTTTTTATCATCTTCCTGTTTATTGATATCCTCTGTGCATGGCACTGGCTGGGTGCTCCACCGTGTGTACATGAGGATAACATATAACACGTCCTCTTTCCTGAAGAAGCCTGTCCTCTAAAGCAGAGCAGCTCCCTTTGGAACCTGTTAAAATACACATGCCAGGCCCTCCCAGAATAGTTACTGACTTTCTAGGTCTGCGGTGGGTATTAGGCATCTGTTTTTGAAAGCTCTTTTTGATATTCAGCTGTGCGTCCCTCTCATTAGAACCACTGGTGAGAGGAGAGGACCCACACACATGAAAAATAAAGATTCAAGGCAGGCACAGGTAGGGAGTAACGGAAAAGACCAGATTTTGCCAAGTGGAGACATTAAGGAAGGCTTTCTTAGCATTTTGCCTAGGCTTTATGATGGGTATCATTTCATCACACAGGAGGTTTGGAATTTGTTGGATTCTCAAGGATGGGAGGGGATGACATAAGGAAAGGCTGGGAAATCATGTAGTTTTGGAATAATAAAGGAGTTTTAATTCCATAATAAAGGGCAAGATGATCCCTTTTAAAGGCAACTCTGAGCATACAACTTGAACAGGAAGAGTCACAGTCACTTTGGCCGACTTTGTGTTAGATAGAAAAGCATGTTTCCTTTGTATCATTGTTAGGATCGAACAGTGTTTTTAATTTAAAAGAAAAAGAGATTAAATATCTTGCAAACTTATTTAATAGGTAAAATCCAATTTTCATGAGATGCTTTTTAATAGTGAGTTGCCCAGGGCAGTGCTTATCAGTACTTTTGACCCATCCACAAAGATGATTTCAGTGGATATGGGTGGGGCCCTGACACCCAGTTTTAAAGTTCTCAGGCTGATTTTGATATGTTCTTAGAGTTGGTTACCACTAAAAAGGTGGAATTACTAGTTAGGAAAATGCAAGTGAGATTCCAGTTAAGAATTTCTTCCCAAGCAATTCTAGAAGCAAAAGTATTATTAATTAATAATTCTCTAAGAAGGCAAAACAACTGACCCAAACTTTGTGTTCAGGAAAATGAACAAATTAACAGATGCCTTCTTTCTTTCCCTTTTAGGGACTGTATTAAAGATGGATATGTAGAGAATGCTATTAGGAGCCTAAAGCATAGAATGCTTGGAGTTGAGGGTTATAGATGAGAGACACTTGGAAGTGTCTACTTTCTTTTGTCATCCTCCCTGGTTATCAGCTGAATAAGGTGGTGTCAAACCTTAACTTTTAAAGATTTCTAAGTTGGAAGGTCTGCTTCAAAACCTGTTTAATTAGGACATTTAAATTTTATTAGGAAGAAGTTTAAAACACGATCAGGTGAAACAGTGCGCCTCATTGACCTCCTAGAAGAAGGACTAAAACGCTCCATGGACAAATTGAAGGAAAAAGAAAGAGACAAGGTAATCCAAAGACTTACTTGTATATTGTATACCATGCATTTTGCTGTGGTTTTTCATTTTTGTTTTTATTGAGAGAACTGGGAAGGTTTATAAGCAGTCAGTCAACTTCTGACAGGCTTATATCTCAGGTTTATTGCACAGTTTGTTTCATGAGTTGCTGAGTGTTTATTGTGAAAATATAGTTCTTAGCTATTTCAAAAGACCATGGCCTTTTCTTCCTTTGTTAATGTGGCATAGAATCTCTGCTGCTTCTTGGCAGTTCACCTGTCACTGCTTTGAACCAATGATAGGAGAATACTGAAGACTGAGGTGGTTTGAGTGAATCGCCTACATTAGAGTGTACATCTGTTGAGCTTTTCTGGGAGCATTTGAAGAGTCATCATTAGCAGTAAACACTGACCACCCGAGGCTTCCCGTGAGCCCACAGAGTAGGCAACATGATGGCCTTTCATAGAACCCTTAGAAAGGACTGTGGTTGGATTTGTGTGAAATTTGGAGGAACTGCATCAAAGTGGGGAAAAAAAAATTTTTTTTAATATAGAAATAAACAGAGGTTAGAGATTGAGTCAAAGGATCTTAGGTCTTTTACATTCCAGCAGTCAAATGGAATGAACATAACTACTATAAACAGAAGAGTAAAATTATAGAAAGAGACACAGAATAGGATTAAATGTAGACATGAATGAGCCAAACAAAAAAAGGTTCTTTGAGGACATACTCTGGTTTGGTTTGGGCAGATCACTGATAATCCAGAGGGCATGAAGGCAGGCTTTAAGGGAACATTCTCCCCACCTGTTTCATTTCCATTGTTCACAAATGAACAAGTGAAACATGTTCATTGTTCAAGTGAAACATGAAATTGTTTTTTATTCTGTTTCCAGTTGGTGGTTGTCAAGTATACCCAGTTGGTATCTCCAGAATAGTTTGGCCTTTTAGTCCTGGCCTAGGTATAAGTGGCACAATATATGAAAAGTGGAAAATGTAGTCACTAATCAGTTTGTTTAGTCTGCATAGTAACAAAAACTGCTTTAACTCTTTATTTGGCCATGTCAGCTGCTATTTTTTAATCTATATAGAGTAAAATGTAAAGCTTGATGAATTTTTACACACATGTATACATGCTAACATCAACTAATCAAGTTATATCTCTTATCACCCCAGAAAGTTTCCTATCACCATAGATCATTTTTGTTTATTTGAGGACTTTAAGTGAAATCATAAAGTATGTGCTGTTTTCCAGGTATATCAGTAGTTCATTTCTTTTTACTGATAGATAAAATAGATAATGGTATTAATGTGTTTCTTCTGTTGAAGGACTAGGGTTGTTTCTGTTTGTTGACTGTTACGAATAAGAAGCTGTTAATAATTTCAGCATTACTGTTCAAGCTACTTTTTGGGTACATGCACTTGTCTCTTGGATGTATATCTACGAATGGCATTTCTGGGTTGTAGGGTGGGCTTATTTACATTTAACTGTATTAAAAATTGCCAAGGAGAGAGTTACAAGCATTATATACTCCCACCACTAATAGAATTGTTCCAGTTGCCCTGTATCTTTCCACATAACTGATTTTGTGAGTCTTATTTTAATAGCTTTTCTGGTGAATAGGTATTAGCATCTCACGGGTTAAAATTTGCATTTTTCTAATGAGTAATTATGTTAACTGTTGCTTATTGATCATCTGGGTATCTTTTGTGAATGATATGTTCAAGTCTTTTGCGTAGTGTTTTAGACCATCCATTTATATTTATCCACATACTTACACTTTGCTGTGAACTTTATTCCTCCTTGCAGTTTTTAATTGCCTAGGTGTGGTTTGGAGAGGGAGGTAGAGTGTTTCCTTCTTTCCTTTGTATTTATCTTGCTTGGAGTTGCTGAGTTTTCTGAGGATTGGGTTCCTCATCAGTTTAGGAAAATTCTCAGGCATATCTCTTCAAACATTGCATCTTTGCCCCGTTCTGTTGTGGAATCTAAGTACATATATTATGTTAGAACTTTTGACTGTGTCCCAGAGTGTTTTTCACTTTTTTTTTTTCACTTTTCTCCTCTATATGCTTTATTTTGAATATTCTAAATACCTTAATCATAGTTTTCCATTTTGAAATAATTTCAGACATAAAAAATTATAAAATAGTACAAAGTATTCCTGTATCAACCTCCCCAAATATTAACATCCTGTAGAGGTAGTATGATTTCAAAACCAGGAAATTGACATTGCTACAGTACAGTTCACTAATCTGCAGACCTGAGTCAGATTTTGCCATTTGTCTCCTTTTTCTAGTCCAGGATCATATGTTGCATTTAGTCTTCATGTTTCCTTAATCTTTTTTAATCTGGGCAGCTCCTTGCTCTTTCTTTCTCTTTCATCATCTTGACACTTTTGGTCAGGTTTTCTGTGGAATGTCCTGTAGCTGGGTTCATCTGGTGTTTCTTCGTGATTAAATTCAAGTTATACAGTCTTAGGAAGACAAGTTTCCTTCTCACTTCATTATTTCAGGAGGCACACGATGTTGATATGTCTCATGATTGTTAACATTAATTTTGATCACTTTTGTTACGGTGATACTATCAATTTTCTCCATTGTGAAGTTACTGTTTTTCCTCTTTGTAATTAATAAGTATTCTTTAAACGATTCCAGACTTTTAAAAGATGTATTATTTATTTTATTTTTGGCTGTGCTGGGTCTTCGTTGTGATGCGTGGGCTTCTCGTTGCTGTGGCTCCTCTTGTTGTGGAACATAGGCTCTAGGGAGCGTGGGCCTCAGTAGTTTGGCGCAGCATGTCCATTCCTGGACCAGGGATCGAACTCATGTCCTCTGCATTAGCAGGCAGTTTCCTAACCACTGAACCACCAGGGAAGCTCCAGTTGCAGTCTTTACAGTTGCTGTTGCTGTGTTTCTCTTGTTTGTTGTCTTGTTCCCCCTCCCCCTACCTCACCTCCTTGGTTTTTAATCATTTCATCTGACATGGTGGGTGAAAAGTTGTAATAGTTCTAGATAATGTCATCTTCCTAGTTAAGTTTTCTGGCTGACAGATAGCACACCAGCTAGTTGTCTTAATGATGTCCTTGTGTTGATGCTCTCTGGAGACTTCAAACAGTTGCTTCATATAATATATTCAGCTTTTAAGTAGTTGATTCTGGTGGAAGGGGTTAGTCGGCTTCAAGCTACTGCATCATGTCCAGACCAGAAATCCTTACTTACTTACTTGACTTAATAATGCTTCAAAATATATGACCAAATTTACCAAGACAGTGTTAGTTCTTTTCCAGTTCTTGACGCCCTGTTTTCATTCCAGTTAATTACCTGACCCTAATTTTGTTTCCTACAACCCACATCAGAATAGTCTATGGAATGAAGCAGATAAAAACTAACAGTTGGTGCTTTGGTTTCATATCTACTGAATACACTGGGAAAAAAGTATTCAAGCTGACACTTCGTATTTATAAATCAGGTTTCTCATGGAAGCATTCTTTGTTATGCAGAGCCGATGAGTTTTCTTTTCATTGTTCTTTTCCGTGTAGGTTGGTCTATGTTTTCCTACCTCAATGTTGATATTGATTAAAGCGCACCATTAGATGCTCCTTGTGCCGTGCTCAATCGCTTTAGTCGTGTCCAACTCTCTGCAGCCCCATGGACTGTAGCCCGCCAGGCTCCTCTGTCCATGGGATTCTCCAGGCAAGAACACTGGAGTGGGTAGTCGGTCCCTTCTCCAGGGGATCTCCCTGACCCAGGGAGCAAATCTGCGTCTCTTGTATCTCCTGCGTTGGTAGGCGGGTTCTTTACTACCATCGCCACCCTAGATGCTTCTTACCACCATCTTTGTCTGTGAGATGGTGGAACAAAACAAAGATTGGTAACTTAAGTGTTTTTTGTTTTTCCAAAAGGTCTTAACCACAGAGGAATTGAAGGCTGCTCAGACATCTGTTGCTTATGGCTGTATCAAATATGCTGATCTTTCCCATAACCGGCTGAATGACTATATCTTCTCCTTTGACAAAATGCTGGATGACAGAGGAAATACAGCAGCTTACTTATTGTATGCCTTCACTAGAATCAGGTAATTGGAGTGCAGCATTTTTTATTTTGAGTCAAATGATGATTTCTAGTTTGGATCAGTCATTCCTTATCATATGTTTTCAATGAAGAAGAATATACTTAACAAAGGGGAATGATGGCTGTTACCTAATTTTTCAGGTCGATTGCACGTCTGGCCAATATTGATGAAGAGATGCTCCGGAAAGCCGCTCGAGAGACCAAAATCATTTTGGACCACGAGAAGGAATGGAAACTAGGCCGGTGCATTTTGCGGTTCCCTGAGGTTCTGCAGAAGATTCTAGATGACTTACTTCTCCACACTCTGTGTGATTATATCTATGAGCTGGCAACTACTTTCACAGAATTCTATGATAGCTGCTATTGTGTGGAAAAAGATCGGCAGAGTGGTAAGTGGCTCATCCAGTAGTCATGTTGGGGACTGGGCACCAACAGAGGCATTCATTTGAGTTGAATGTGGATAATTTTCAGTTTATTTATGGAAACCCCCCACACCCAATTTGCCCCTAGTTACACAGTAATCCATATCATATACAACAGACAGAATTGCACTGGCTCTAATACAAGCATAAATGGAATTCTTCCCATTCCCAAACAGACTCGTTTCCCCACCCTCAGGCACATGGGATGGAACCATAAAACTCCAAAGAAACAATTGGAAGGTCACTAGGAATAGGACATTTCCAACAAAAGCAGTGTGACTGATAGTCTGAGTCTTTGGGTTCTTGATAATGAAAACTACCCTTGGAGGAAAAAAATAATACCTCTTTTAGGCTTTTTGCTCTATTGTGTTACATAGTTAATGAAATAGACTGAACTAATGATTAATAATAATACAGCAAGTAGGCATTTCTGAGAGTCATGCTTGAGAACTTAAAATTTCATTAGGAAAAAAAATCATTATGGTATTTAAAATTAATTCAGACCATGAAGCCTAGAACAGAATAAAAAAAAGAAAAAGATAAAATTACAGTCTAATAGTTCAGGCTCTATATGTCTTATCAGTTAAAAACAGATTTCTTGAACAGAACACCTTTTTTCTTAGAGTCTCTCTCTACAGTTTAAGTAAAGATGATTCTAGTTAAAGCCCCCAAAACATCTGAGTTAGGCTATTTACTTCTCAGTAAAGTCCAGAAACCGCATATTCTTTAACAGTGATTTGTAGAAGTAATTACTGTCTTTCTCTGTATTCTCAGGAGAAGTACTGAAGGTGAACATGTGGCGTATGCTGCTATGTGAAGCAGTTGCTGCTGTCATGGCTAAGGGGTTTGATATTCTGGGAATAAAACCTGTCCAAAGAATGTAATCCTCCTAAGGTCTGAACACTGTGTGTTTTCACCAAAGTGGCCATTAGCATTGTTTGCTTTTTTACAATCATGTGGATACAAAAACAAGTAAAAGGAATTTATCAACTATCTACAGAACTTGTGGTTCTTTGTCTCTCACAACTAAACTTCTGAAAAGTACTTTCACTAACTTTAATTAGATAAGGAATCACATTTATTGAGCCCTAATGTAGTCCCCAAGAACACAGCCTTCACTGCCACTTATTCTGGAGAAACAAATGCTTAATATATATACGAATGTTACTGCACCATGCTGCTTCCAAGGGTCTCCACGCTCAGAGGAGCCTTGGATATGATCTTAATGAATTATGACCATAGCTACCATTTACAAACTGGTCTGTACAGAGCCTGTATCCACAGCATAAAGGATACCTTGGGAATAAATATCTAACCAAATAGAGAATAGCAATAAGAAGACAAATTATGAAGAAGCCAAGTAGAAGCTCTAGGGGTGAAAAGTACAACTGAAATTAAAGATTTGCTAGAGGGATCCAACAGCAGATTTGAGCAGATAGAAAAAGGAACTTGAAGAGAGGCCAAATTTAAATTATACAGTCTGAGAAAGAATTACATCAGTGCTTAGAATGAAATTTTTAAAAAATGAAGAGAGACTAAGATGACCTTTAGGACACCATCAGCAGCACCAGCATATGTATAACAGGAGTCCCAGGTGAGAGGAGAGAAAGACGCATAAAATATTTGAAGAAATAATGGCTAAAAATTTCTCAAATTTGATGAAAAATTTTAATGTACATATAGAAGTGTAGTAAACTCCGAGTAGGATAAAAACAAAGCCTTTTTAAAACAATCTGTGGAGAAAGAAATTGAAAACTTTGAAAGCAACAAGAAAGAAATCACAGTAATTATTTTTTCTAGGAACTGCCACATTTCCCACAGAAGCTCTACCATTTTACATTCCCACCAGCGGTGCACAAGGGTTCTCATTTTTCTATTTTTGTTAACACTTTCTGATAGTAGCCATCCCGTTGAGTGTGAGGTGGTATCACAGTTGTGATTTGCATTTTCCTAATTAGTTAACATTTTGAAGACCGAAGGAAGGAAATAATAAAGACCAGACTGGAGAGGAATGAAATAGAGAAGAGGGAAACAATAGAATCGAAAGAAAATTTGGTTCTAAAGATCAGCAAAATTGACAAACGTTTATAGCTAGACTGGTAAAAAAAAACCCAAAACAACAAAAACAAAAAAGAAAAGGGAACCAATAACAACAAACCTAAAATAAAAAAAGGAATAAAAACTATATAGACTAGAGGTATACCAAAAAAAAAATAGACACACCAGAGGAAAAATAAAAAAAAATCGAAAAACAAAATGCCAAAGCTGACTGAAGAAGAAATAGAAAATCTGAATAGACCTAAAACAAAGAGATTGAGTCAATTATACCAAAAAAATTCCAATAAAATTCCAGGATCAGGTGACTTCTCTGATAAAAAGAATTAACATCAGTTCTCAAACTCTTCCAAAAAATAAAGAAGAATCACTACCTAACTTGTTCTAGAAGGCCAGTATTACCATGATGTTTAGTTGTTCAGTTGTGTCTGATTGTGACCCCATGGGATTTCCCAGGCAAAACTTCTGGAGTGAGTTGCCATTTCCTTCTCCAGGGAATCTTGACCTAGGAATCAAACCTGGGTCTCCTGCATTGGCAGGCAGGTTCTTTATACCACTCAGCATCAAGGGCTTCCCAGGTGGCACTCGTGGTAAAGAATCTGCCTGCCAGTGCAGGAGATGTAAGAGACTTGGGTTCAATCTCTGGGTCAGGAAGATCCCCTGGGGGAGGGCACAGCAACCCCCTCCAGTATACTTGCCTGAAGAACCCCAAGGACAGGAGCCTGGTGGGCTACAGTCCATAAGGTCACAGAGCCGGACACATGCATGCACCCTGACAGCAAAGCCAAAAACATGGCAAGAGAAGCAAAGCACAGATCATTATCCCTTGTGAATACAAATGAAAAAGAAAACCTCAAAAGTACTAGAAATCAAACTGAACAATTTTTAAAGAATTATGAGCAAATAAGGGGCTCCAATCAAGATGGCAAAGTTAATAGGACATGGAACTCTCCTCCCACAAGTACATCAAGAATACATTTACAAATGGATTCTTACAGAACACCTACTGAACACCAATGGAAGTCCTCAAACCCCTGAAAGGATGAGAAAGATCTCCACATAACTGGGTAGGAAGAAAGGGGGTGGGAGGAGGGAGGAAGTGGGACAGGACTTGCACCCCTGGGAGGGAGCTGAAGAAAGGAAAAGTTGCCATACCCTAGGACGACCCCTCACCAGTGGGGAGAGAGCTGGGACAGAAAAGGAGCTTCAGTGGCTCACAGGAGGGCGTGGTAGTTTGAGGCAGGCAGAACAGAGAGAGGCGGTCCGTGCCACCGCCCTGTGACCCCAGCCTAATGTGCATCTGCTGGTAAAGGCACAGGCTGGAAAACAGGGTTGAGGACAGACCTGAGGAGAGGACTGGTGTTGGCTGCTTGGAGACATCCTGAAGGGGCTGGAGTGTGTTATAGCTGACCGCAACCAGGGGTAGAAGCCCGGCCCACCACAGAAGTGAAGCTCCAGTGTTCAGGGGCCCCTTACAGCCTTTATCCACACGTCAGCCCCCTCCGCCTTGGGCTCCAGGAGAGTGTGCCCCGCCCGGGCAGGCTTGCAGGTCCAGCTCACCACCGCGGGAGCAGACGCCAGCAGGCTGCCCACGTGCAGGGTGGGGTGGAAAGCACAGCCGAACATGGAGGGCCTGAGGGACAGCCGAGCAGAGTGGGTGCTCCCGAAGCTGCAGGCTCTGCGGGTGCCTGCACAGGGGGCTGGGCCAGGCCAGGATCTGAGCTGTAGGCTCCCACGTCAGGTCTGGGGGTGGGACTTCTGCAGTCCTGGGGGACTCAGGGACTTCAGCGACACCAGGGCTGATTGCCGACACGCCCATGGCCGAGGTGGGGCAGCGGGCAGTACCCGCGACCGTGAACTCGGGGGGAAGGGGACACAGCAGGGCACACTCCCCGGTGAACAGCTCCAGCACAGGAATACTCAGCGGTCCTCTCCCAGTGGGAATGCTCCCATCCCGTCCACCTTGCACCACAGCACAGAAACCTATCTGGGCACATCTGCTCCAACAACTAAAGAGCAGACCCTGCCCCTAACAGGGCAGTGACAGCTACAGGGCAAAGAGAAGGCCCCGCTCAGGGTGGGTCTGGTCACCACAACACCAGTCACACCTCCTATCAAGGGGATTAACAGGCGGCCCACGCTAAGAGGTGGCAGCCATCCATACCAAAACAGCCCTCACACCCAAAATATTAAACCTACGCAGGCTACACAGGGGTGTTCCCACATAAGCATACACCTCCAAGACCACAGTAGATAAAACTGTTTTTCCTAAACTCATAGAGCAAGAGAAATACAAGTACAATGAAAAAGCAGAGAAACCTTTCCCAAATACAAAAGATCAGGAGAATTTCCCTGAAAGAACAAACAATGAAACAGACCTCTTAAGCTTAATAGACACTGAGTTCAAAAAGGGGATAATGAAAATACTGAAGGAATTAGGAAAGGCTATTGGGAGAAATTTGCATGAAATGTTCCCTTGGTATCTCCAATTTTCTTGAAGAGATCTCCAATCTTTCCCATTCTATTATTTCCCTGTATTTCTTTGCATTGTTCACTTAAGAAGGCTTTCTGATCTCTCCTTGCTATTCTCTGGAAGATTACTGTAAAAAGGAACTAGAAACAGTAAGGAGGAACTAGGAAAAATTAGAAAAGTTATCATGAGCAAATGAGACTATCCAGGAATGTAAGGATGGCTCAACATTTGAAAATAAAGTATACATCATAGTAATCAATTGAGGGTGTGGGGAAACTCCACATGAGTATATCAACAGATAGGGAACAAGACAGGGAAATCTGCTTTGGTCTGAAACTCTAGCCACAGGGCAGTTAGGCAAGAAAAGGAACTAAAGGACATTCAGATTAGAAAGGAAGAGGTAAAATTCTCTTTTCACAGATTACATGGTTTTATATATTTAAAAACTTCCTAAAGAACACACACACATATAGACAAAGACAACTAACAGAGCTAGTAAAAGCAGCAAGGTTGCAGGACACAAAGTCAAAGCACAAAAATTAGTTGTACTCCTCCTTTGTTTGTTGTATTGCTTACAACAAACAATACAAAAATTAAGAAATCCATTTACAATGGCACCAAAAAGAATAAAATAATTAGTAATACATTTAGCCAAGGGAGTGTAAGACCTGTACGCTGAATTAAACTACAAAACATGGAAAGAAATTTTAAAACGTCTAAATAAATGGAACGACATTTCATATTCATGGTTTGGAAGACTTATTGTTAAGATGGCATTACTTCCCCAATTAATTTATAGATTCAACCTATTCATGATCAGTAGAATCCTAGCGTTATAACTCCTTGGAGAATCTGACGAGCTGATCCTAAAGTTCATATGGAATTGAAAGAGACCCTGATTAGACAAAACCTTGAAAAAGAACAGTTGGAGAACTCACAATTCCCAATTTCAATACTTACTACAAATTAACAGTAAACAAAACAACATGGGACTGGCATTAAGGATAGACATAGATCAATGGAATCGAACTGAGTCCAGAAATAAACCCATATTCTACAGTTAATTGATTTTCAATAAGCGTACTAAGACCATACAATGGAGAAAAGACATCTTTTCAATAAATGGTGCTGGAATAACTAGACTGTTCTTGTTGTTCAATCACTAAGTCATGTCCAACTCTTTGTGACCTCGTGGACCATAGCGTGCCACGCTCCTCCGTCCTCTTATTATCTCCCAGAGTTTGCTCAGATTCATGTCCATTGAGTCAGTGATGCTACCTAACCTTCTTATCCTCAAACAATTAAATGCAGAAATACCATAAAATAATGCTCCTAGGTATATATTCAAGAGACCTGAAAACATGCTCACTCAAGAACTTGTATACATGTTCATACCACTGCAGCACTATTCAACATTCATAAAACATAAAAGTAGAAACACCCAAGTGTCTATCAACTGATGAATACAT